TTCAATTTAATACCAAACTTAAATCATTTCTATAATTACCAGAGGCGTATACTTTAAGTATAAAAATAATCATTTATGTTTAATCTAACCCTCTATGTATGGCCCAATTAACTGTATTTTATATAGCTCCATTCAAAAGTTAATTAAAAAACTTTAAATATATGTCAATAAACATGGCATCAGAGCGAAGTTTACTAATCAATTTTTAGGTTTTAATGTTCAATTGTATTTTTGGATGAAATGTATTCACTCACTCTCAAAGTTCTTTCAGTATGTACAAATTCAATAGTATCATTTCTATAAGCCTGTACAAACACAAGCTATATGTAATGAAAAGTTCAAATATACACTTTTAGTGTCCCAAGTTATCAATAAATTTTCCACCCTATGGCAGATAACCTGCTCATCTATCCTTAACTTTCAAAACCACATTCTTATTTATCCAATAAAATATATTAGTTGTTTTTTTCACTATTTGAAGCTTGAAATTTTTCTTTTTAAATTTGGAAGCAGTAGATGTAAATCTTAAGGAAGTGACTAATGCACATGCCATCATAGCTGTTGCTTACAGAAATAATGAAATTTTTCAATCCCATATATATCTTAGATGTAAATTAAATGATAATAGTTTTGGGATACTCTATTTTAGTGAGATACATTTTGTGTTTTAAAATGCATATTTGAGAAGAACATAATTGTTTTATTTTGACAATAAATTTAGAAAAATTTCTGCTTATTTAACTTTGTGTTCAAATGCAGATATTTCACACTGTAATATACTGAACAGGTAAATGGTAAGTCATACAATAAAATCATAAAATTAAAACACGAAGAGGCTAAAAGTTGAAATCATGAATATCGTCAATTGCTGATCGGCAATAAATAATGCAATGAAAGAAGAGATATTTTAACCAAATTTCAGCTGCAATTATGTCTATTAACACATAATTTAAGACCAATATCACTTAGCCATGTCTCTCTGTTAATTAGTCAATAATGATATGCATGTCTTCAGGAGTTGACAAGCAATATCTATGGCTATCTTCTAAAGCGGAGACCCAACAATATTCCGTTAGAGTTTGCTCTGCATCAGCCAGGTTTTCATTATGTGTCACACATCATACAATATTCACAACATTGCCAAATATCATGACTCGAATGGACTCAGAATTCAATGTTAGTATAAGTAATACCTTCATTCCTTTCAGTCTTTGTGTTATACAAAGTTTGAAGAATTTCTTGCCATAGAGCTGTGGGGGACCACTAGATGTATAGTCAGATAACCATGACTTGGTGATTTATGATGATGGTACAGCACACCTTCCTCCAATTGTAATTGACTATACATGTACCACAAGTTACATGCATCTGTGTTATGCTCCTCTATTACTATGCTGCATAGCAAAACATACATTTAGGGTCAGAGTCCTTCAGTTGCTCTTTGGAGCTCCTGAAATTTTAATCTTGGCACCCATTCACTGGTGCAATTTCTTAATCATTGGCTTGCCTTTGCTGTAGTGGAAATGAACATTGTTTAGTTTCACATGGTGTTCAGGATTAGGGCACTTCTCAAATAGACAAAGTGTCTCTCACTGGTGAGATAGTCCATCCACATCTCCAAGTTGTGGAACTGGGCTCAAGCACTATGACAAGTCATATTCTTGCAACATTGTGATCTAACATGTAATCTTCCTGCCCAGTTGTTTAAATTTCATTAGCCACTTCAGCAAAACATGGTCTACCTGAACAGTGAACTTTGTATAACTGTAAGCTATCCTTTCTTTTTCAAACAGTATCTGCATTCAAGAGCTGAAAGCATATGTAATTACATGTTCTCCTGCAACTTCAACACTGCTTCAATTCTGTCAGTATTCAAAGTGTTGAGCCAATGGGAACTTTCTATCATGTCCAGACATTTATTTATCTGTTCATGGTAAAGGCATCAACATGAATTACAGCATTCAATCCCCTTAACTTAACACTTGGTATCTGGTTACCCATAATTTCAAAACAATACCAGAATTTCATCCTTCATTGGACAGGAAACAGCATATTTTGTGTCTTCTATAAGCATGTTACATGATACTGATTCACTAGACTTAGTTTGGAGTAAGCCACAGAACACCACTTGTATATACAGAAATACTTACTCACCCTGCTACATACACCTGTATAGTCCATTGTTCTTGGGCTTGATCTAGTAGGTGATGGGTGACTTCCTGTGGATCACCAGTTCAACTACTGCAAAGGCAAAACTTAGATAACTTGAGAAGATGCCAGTACCAGACCCATGGTCAAGGACGACTACCTTTATTATGTGAGCAACATAGAGATCTAATACTCCTATGACATCTAGTCTATTGCCATTTGCTAGAACAGTCAGCATCCATTGGGCATAGTGGTGATGTCACTTGGGGGGCTTCAAAGACTGCAATGTCTACTAGGGTTCTCAATACACCAGTGTCAGTCAAGAACTCAACCTCTTGTTTTGTACCCTCACAGATATGTACTAAGTTCTACCCAGTTTTTACAGAACCTGGCTGACCCATAAACTCTTTTGTGCAAGCTGTTTGCTGTGTTTCCTCAACCCAATGCTGACCTGATTGCTGTTATCAATATCCCTGCTTACTTTGTTGCTTGTCTGCTGAGTCTTTGATTGGAAACAACAGCCATAATCTTTGCTGCTTGGAAAATATAGACAGCTTTTCTACCAGTCCAGAAGCAAATCTGACACTTTGCTCCTCCTATCCTGGACAACTTCCAGGAGGAGGCATTAGCATTTACTGCTGCATGTACCCAATGGATGGATCTGGATAGCCATGCACACACACACTCGAAACCAGTGTGGTTGCATCACAGTGTTAGGATGTGTAGGAAGGCGGTTAACTCTCAGTACAAATAAAGCTTGATCCAGTGGAAGAGCCCGAGTAGGTCAGTGGGACAGCCATAACAGCTGTCAACCAACCCAAAGTTACTCCTTCATACTGGATTGCAATAGAAACTGCCTTTGTTAGAATGAGGATGTATTTCATACCTAGGTGTTACCTCATAGCTTCACTGGGAAGACCCTCTATCAATTTGTCCATGAGTATATCCTCCTAATCTGTGGATACCATTGCAGGGTAGGCAGCTAGTTCCTCAGTGTCAGATTCTCCACTGGATCTAATCTGTATTATAGCTCATACATAAGAGTCTCCCAGTCATCTTGCTGCTACTTATCCAAGTGTTCAATGACATCCAAGGCAGTGTTGTCCAAGATAAGGGACAGCTTGTTCATGAGACCATTCATTTTTCTTACACAATGGGGACAAAATCTGCTCTACTTCATTCACAGGACTTGTTGTGTGGGCCAAAGCCTCCTTCCCTTTACGTTCTTTGTCAATGCTTAGCCGATATATTGCCAATTTCGTGAGTATAGGGCAACAGTCATCTTCGGGATCCCCAATACTTGGATAGTAATTGCTATTTGATTCAGGGCAGAAAACTGCTCATGACACTAAAAGTACAGTCCTGCTCAATCTCAGGTGTTGTTGCAAGTCACAACTGACATCACAGGGTACGTACTGATCCAGCACATGTATTGAAACCTGGATTTTAGCATTATAAGTCCACAGATTTATCTTCCATACCACTGGAGACCTGGGGTTAGTGAAATGAACATAATAAAGCATAACTTACTATCAAGAAAGAGCTGAAATTCAGATAATAGCTACAAATGACACAAGAAATATATAAAGTACTTATAATATTTCAAAATGGCATTTTAGCAGGTCAAGTGTACAGAAGTTCTTGAGCTTGTGGTCAGGTGACTTCACAGGTGTATTGAAGAAAAGACAAATAAAATCAGTCTCATTCCCTATGGTTAATAGAAATGCTGCTGTGGACTTAACACGTAAAACTTGACCACTTTATCATAATTTAGCCATACCTTTTCTATTCCTGTCCATATAATGCAGAAAAATGTCATAGTGATAAAGTGGTGTCAACATGCTCTGTTGATTGCAATTTTAATTTACTTTTTCTTTAACTCTGCACTTTGTGACCTTCAATAACCATATACCAATTTAACAGCAGCAAAAGATGAAAAAACAGGAATAAATTCTATGTTAAACTACCGTAATTATATTGAGAAACAGACTGAACAAGCAGTAGGTAATATATTTGTTCAGAATCTTTCCCTTTCAAAACACTTGTCCTAACAACCATAAACATTTATTAACCTTTTTTTGTAAAAATGAGAGAAATTTCTAGTATTGTAGAAATATGACCATCATAAAAAAAGTCAATAACAAACAGGTAAGAAACATTTGATCTTGTGATATGTTTCATGTCAATTTGCAGCATTTCTGTAAATGCAGGGATTGTAGTTGTATATATTTGAAATGATTTTCTTCCACATTCTAATAATGCCCAATTATGACAGGTAAATATTTTTTATAATTGTTTATTCTTTGAATAACAAATACTTTTATTTCATTTACTCTTTGAACTGTTTTGGATTAAAGATGCTACACAATTAATATCAGAAATGCAGCTCTGTAAACTCATAATGAATGGTAAATTCAGATGAAAAATACAGTATACATTTAGATTTTAGAGGAACTTTAATATTCCACAATCTCTTAAATGTAATTTGGATTACTTTCCAATATTATAACGATTCATATAATACTATCTGAAATCTACACACAACTATAAAATTAATTATATTTCATGCCTCAATTATGTCAGGTGCAATATCTGTAATGCTTCCATGTATCACCTACAAGGTTTCCACACAATAAAATATAATGAATTATTACAATTTTGAAATACTTTTACTATGGCTACACATTTACAAATATGTACTTATGACGTTTTTAACCAATATTTCCACTCAATATGTTGAAAACCAATTTCAAAGATTAACAAAAGTTATCCTGGATAATGTACTTAGTAAGAGCCAGTGAACTTTCATTTCTTACCTCTAAGTGCTTAGACAATACAGACAGAACACAGTATTTCAGAATGTACATTCTTTTTATTTTAGACATGAGGTTGACTTAACCATACAAAATATAACTCTGACAAACAAAGTTTTTGGTTCCACAACTGAAAGATGCTTAATCAAATAAACCTGAAAAAAAGAGAAAAGAAAGAGTTTAATAAAGAATGTCTTCAATGAATTCCTTTTATACAAAAAACAAAACATAATCACCCCTGCATTTTACTATTATAAGCTGTTTAGCTCACCACTGAGCCAATTAGATGAAAGCAAAAATTCTGAATTTTAAAAATTAAACAAGTAATTTAATTTTAGAAAAATTAACACATAGCATTGAATTCTTAATTTTTTGTTTTTCACAACACTTCTGAGAAACACGTATATAGCAAACAATTATCAATGGATTAAAGAAGCTCACCAAATCCCATGTCATCATCTTCTTCCGATTCTTCAGGTTCTTCTTCTTTCTTAGGTTCTGTTTCAAAGCAATGAAAATGTTGATAATTTGAATCTCTGAATAAGTCAAACTACCTAACATACTTCAAATAATTGTACTTGCCATACAATTATTAGTGATATAATGTTATCAAGAAAAACTTCCTTTCAAATGTTAGGATAATGCCTAATGAACATGAAAATATAATTTCAGAACTCAAAATTGCTTAAAAGTTGGAATGACTCATAAACAATGATTCTATCAATCAGTGATTACTTAAAGACAAAGCTGGCTCTTGTGAAAAAGTTGGGACTTAAATTGATGAAAACTACAAACAGTAAAAGGTTTAACTTTTGCTTAAGAGTGTTTTTTAATGTCAACATAAAAGCTTGAATACCGACCTTCTTTTGCTGCTTCAGCCGGTGCTGCACCAGAAGCTGCAGCTGCCCCACCAGCAGGAGCGGCACCAACACCAGATCCCACATTGGTAATAAGCTGTTTTAGATCTATATTTTCTAAAGCTTTAGAAAAGAGACCTGCAAAAAGAAAACAAATAAATTATTGTTTTAAAGTTTATAAACTGCTGATTAATAAAGAGATTCAACCAGGAGAAAGAGAATTGTTATGAAATTATTTATAACCAGCGTAAAAGCTTGTCAAGAATATTGGGAAAGCACTGGAAACCAAAAACTATTCCGTATAAAACTGGCAATACACAAAATAAATAAAAAATTTCCTTTCCCAGAAACATGCTACATATTGGTGCCTTTACTTAAAAGACCAAAATGTATTATGACCATGTGATTACATACACACCAGTTCTTCTTGTGAGGAAAAGTCGTCCTCATCCCTACAAATAATTGGTATCATAAGTCTGTTTTAACAACGGCTTTTCCATAATAATCCACAAGCACAGACTTACACTAATTTTTTACTTCTTTTTCAAAGGCATTGATAGGATGCGAATGTACTTCCACGTCTTGGATCACTGAAGTCTTCCCAGCTTTCCTACTCAGATCCTACCTAGCTTAACATCATAATAATGTGGTGCTACACACATAACACCACACCTGATCTGGTCCTTGGAACTCCCTCTTTGATAGGGTTTTATATAACAGAAAAAGTACCAAAATTTAGGAGCTATTTACGCTTACATTAATGATTAAATTCCATTGAAATGGCAATAGATAATCAAAAGAGAAAGTATTACAGGAGAAAAGTGGAATTGGACTCATGTAACTCACAAACTTCTGAGAAATCGAGGATGACAGTGACCAACCGACACTTGGCTTTTATATATACATGCTAATATGAAACAGATAATAGAACATAATTTCATTTATATGAAGACAAATTAGGTTGAAATATTTAATTTTTGTAAACTATACAAGTTATTTGTGCATTAAGTTGAAAAATATATACTAATACATTGTATATCATGTATTAAGCCTAAGAACCTATTGACATATTCTCCCTTTTGTTTCTATTTCATTGGAGTGGCCTGTAAGTAAGTCAAGTTTTATAAAATCTGAAAATATTGTTTCTGTTAAGTTACATAGAGAAACTCAAGTAATTCAGATTCACTGGAAGTAAGAACACTTGCACACAGGCCTCAATAAGTTGTAATAATTAACGAGAACACAAAGCTACACGATATTGCTCAGAAACAGCATCTACATATTTGGTCCAAATTGGATTTACAACCAAACAACAGTGTTCTACCAACTAGGTCACATTTATTAATGTGGGAGTTTATAAAAAATGTCGTGAACAAAAATATTCATGTAAAAAGAAATATTTCAAAGAATGGTGCTGAAAAATTCACACAGAGAAACACTTAGAACAGCACTAGGTTCAGAAGCAAGTCTAATCTGGACCAGTGTCCTTTCATCTGTCAAAAGAAGGATAAGCTTATGAAAGAAAACCTTCCCACCCAAAAAACATCATTGTGATGAAGCTGGGCCTATGTCTTGGTACTGACAATTGGATAATGCACAAGGATTTGAGAGCTCTCAATTCGAAAAATTCCATCCACATCTGTAAATCAATTTCTCCTGAAAAATACAATTGAGAAAAACTGGAATCACAGCAACCCCATTTGATCACAGTGGATTTTTGTGACTGGATCTATTTAAAAGTGGTCTTAGACCAACTGCACACATACAGTGAAAAAATCATGAGGTCTGTCAAGTTCTGCATCTTAAGTTGACCTTATCTTTTGCAAAAGCATGTTAGAATGAAAATTGTGATATTCAGCAGTAGTGCATAATCATAGCTATTAGAATAAGCATGATCACTGATGGAGGAACTTATCTGTATTTACAACTGGGGAAAGAATATCATTATTGTAAAATGCAAATAACCCCAGTACAATTGAATTTTTAAAAAAATTAAAAAAAGCGTTTCGGTCACGAGTCATTTCAATAAAACATTTCTATGTGAAAATTTACTGAACATATAATTTAAAATTTTGCTTCTACTTCCAGATTTGATGAGTAACTTTTCAAATATCAGCAATTATTTCAAATACCAAATTTTACTTGCTAATTGGAAACTTCACCTTCCTTGCTGCAGTTTCATAATCAACATTAAGATTATATACACCTCAGATTTTTGAAAAAAATTCCTCACTCATTACAATGCTACAATATACAGCAAACTCAGTAGTAATTCCATGCAGTTTACAGAACATATCTGCACAAATACATTTTGTAATCTCTTTGACAATTTATTATGAATTTATCTAAATGTCTCAACCAGATATTTTTCTAATATTTGTTCTGGTACCCTTTTCATGCTATTAACTAAAACAATCTTAATTTGTATAGTTAACTCTTTTCAGCACAGGCTCAATCCCTAGGACCAACCTTGTAACCATTTTGTGCTTGTTAGTTTTCATGCTACAACTTTTATATTAATAAGTGTATGTTAACAAAATTTGGTAGATTATCAGTAAACATTACAATGCTGTCATATGCAAAATACCAATTTTTTAAATATTAAGTCTTAAATTTTGTTATACAATGTTTTTCTCATGCAAAATCTTTATAATGTCCAGATAGTTATCAAATGTTTCTTAAAAAAACTTTATCTATATTTTGTTATTTTCACTAACAAATCTCTGTAAGGATTCTATAGATTTGATCGATCTTGTAACCACCATAGAAAATTAGTAAATAAATATAAACTATGCCTCTTTCATTCTAGAATGACAACAAATTATAATATGAAAACATAAATGTTTAGACTAAATAGGTTAAATCTCATAACATAAAAGATTAATATATATTATTTTTTATTATATTGACCTTTCAGCTGTGCCTGGCTAACAATACAGAAGTTACAATGATGTGGCACATGTGCTCTCATGTTACCATATTCAATAATATAAAACTAACCTTTAGTCTTTACAAAGTGACCTGTCTTGGCTGTGTTTTAGTAGACTAGTGTTTTGTAAAATACAGTCACATTTCAGTTATTATACATTATATATGTATATAGATTATTACTATTTACAAATAACTTCTTAAAACTTATTTTTTCTTAAAAAATAGAACAGTAAATAAAAGAAGTAAAGCAAACAATTATCTCTTCTAGTTACGAACTTTATACTCAGCTGCTGCTTGCCGTAAGTCGCTAAGCCTTATTGTACGTGAAACAAAATAATTTTTTTTAGATTTTATAAATACAAGTGAATAACCCCAAAATCATAAATTACTATATTGATACCATACAATTCCATAGGTGCTGGAAGGATTTTTACCCATTCAGTAATTAATACTATACACAATTCATGAAGCCAGATGATCATGATGATGAATGCATTTTTTAAGTTCATTCTCAGATACTCAAATAAATTGAAGTTTGAGTATTGTGGTGGCCATGAGAAACATCAAGTTTTACCATGTTCCCCAAACTACGCACTCACAATGTAGCTGCCCTCATAGGGTACACATGAAGCATCACAGGATATATCTGATCATGAATGGTGCTGAGCAAAGCTGTCACATTCATTAAAGGAGCCTAACATATCATCTGATCAACCTAAGTTGCATGTACAACTCTGGTTACCAGTCAGTATAAAGTCTGTAACATACCTACTTCTAATAACAGGGAAGCAAAATGCACCACCTTCTGAAATGTTTTTATTTCATGTGGCTAAAATATTTTGAAGCAAATGGCATCATTTATTCAAAATAGCTGTTGGAAATCAATTTTATTATGTTCATTACTTTCCAGAAATGTAAACTTGTCATGAGTTTACTTCATGTAATATTTTATGTAAAAATAAATTACACCACACCACAACACTAAAATAAACATGGAACACATTATACATACCTGGCCAGTATGGCTCCACAGATACATTTGCAGCTTTTAATATGGTGTTGATTTTTTCAGACTACAAAAGAAATGTCTTTTAATATAAAATAATATTTAGATCCAAGAATTAGTACACATATTTC